GACCATTGCCATCCCGCTTGGCTGCTCTGTCCTCTCCCCATTGTGGCCTCACTTGCCTTTTCCTGTGTGCCCAGCTCTGTTCCTTGTAATTCTGCTGCTTCCCCATAACCTTGTCTCACCGTGAGCCGAGCTCTGTCCAGTGCTCTCTGGGCCTCCTTCCCATCAGCGCCTGCAGCTCACAGCCTCCGTCTCGGCAGCTCTTCTCCACACTCCTTTGTGGTACGTGATGTCACAGGTCAAAGGTTGGTCTGGTGGTTCAATCAAGTGGCCAAGGGACACTGGGGCTGAGGCACAGCTGCTTCAGGGCTGACCTTTGAGTGGGACTGAGGGTGGGGCAGGCAATGTCCTTGGCCTGTAGGGTGTACTGGAGAACCACGCAGGAATAAATACATCTGTATGTGTAATGTCTAAGCATATGTACATCTGTGTTTATACAGACACACATATATGCATGTGTGTACATACATGCGTACATGTGTGCTTGTAACGAGGTGAAATGTGTCCTCACGTAAACTGAACAACCAGCACTGTTTAAAGAGCCGTGAAAATGAGCTGGCAATCATGCTTCTGCAACTCAGCATCAGGAAATTTCACCCATTGCACTCCCATCTTTATCATGAAAACCAAGAAATAACCCACATGTCTGATGATGAGCCAAAATCAAGTAAATTATGGTATACTGCTCCAAGGGATTTTATACATTTGAAATATTTATTGTAGAGTTTTTTTTTGTTTTTTGTTTTTTGTTTTGAGAAGGAGTTTCACTCTTGTCCCCTAGGCTGGAGTGCAATGGTGCAATCTCAGCTCACTGCAACCTCTGCCTCCCGGGTTCAAGCGATTTTCCTGCCTCAGCCTGGGATTAAAGGCGCATGCCACCATGCCTGGCTAATTTCTGTACCATGTCAGCCAGGCTGGTCTCGAACTCCTGCTTGAACTCCTGACCTCAAGTGATCTGCCTGCCTTGGGCTCCCAAAGTGCTAAGATTACAGGGGTGAGCCACTGTGCCTGGACTGTAGAGACTTTTTTAAACAGCAAAATTTTTTATTTTAAAATTTGTTTTGAGACAGGGTCTTGCTCTGTCACCCAGGCTGGAGTGCAGTGGTGCAAACATGGCTCACTTCAGCCACCTGGGCCCAAACAATCCTCCTGCCTCAGCCTCCCAAGTAGCTGAGACCACAGGCATGTGCCATCACACCCAGCTAATTTTTTGTTTTTAGTAGAGATGGGGTCTCACTATGTTTCCTAGGCTAGTCTTAAACTCCAGGCTGAAGCCATCCTCCTGCCTCAGCTGTCCAAAGTGCGGGCATTACAGGTGTGAGCCACCACACCTGGCTATTTGAAAGTTGAAAAAAAATGAGGACATCTTTGCTGGGCTGACAACTGTGGAAAACTTAAATTTACATAATGAAAATAGAATAGCCCAGAAAAGTGAAAATATATGGGAGTTGAAAGGTCTTTAAAATGGTGGTGGGTTTTTTTTTCCCCAAAACTTTCTTTACTGTGGTTAATTGCTTTTACAATAGAAAGGTTATTGAAATCCAAACAAGTACAGGAATATGCACAGGTTTATTGGTGAGATTGGCGTCTCCAGGGTTAGTTACCATGTTTTTAGCGGCATCCTCAGTCTGGAAGCGGCTGTGGGAGACAATCCCGTTATACAGGCTTTGCTCCTCCTGGGGCTGAGGCCCAAGTTAGCTGCTTCAGCCAGCCCTCCCTCCCTCCCTCCCTCCCTCCCTTCCTTCTCTGCCTCAGCCCTCCTTCCTTCCTTCTCTGCTTCAGATTTCCTTCCTTCCTTCCCTGCTTCCTTCCTTCTCTGCCTCAGCTTTTCCTTCCTTCCTTTTCTTTTCCTTCCTTCCTTCTGCCCTCCCTCCTTCCCCTCCTTCCTTCTCTGCCTCAGCTTTTCCTTCCTTCCTTCTCTTCCTCCCTCCCCACTTTCTTTTTCTTTTCTTTCTCTCCCTTCCTTCCTTTTCTCTTCTCTCCTCTTTCTTTTCCTTCTTCTCTATAAACCCAGCTCATGCATAAGAACTTGGGCTCTGGAATGAGACCACTGCAGGCTAAACCCTGGGATCTGGGATTTGGTTCCAATGTCTCTGCTCCACGGAGCCTGGTGTTTCCCTTGTGGGCATCAGGGAGACAGTTAATGCCCTGCTCTTGGGCTGTGCCCAGGGGAGCAAGTGCTCGCTAAATCTGGCAGGTGCTGCTATGCGCTGTCTCAGTCATAATTTGACATTCACACCCCAGAAAGTGTGGGACAGAAGACACAACACAGGCCTCAGGGTCCTCAAACAGGTGGGAGTGCCAGTTCTGGGAGTCACTGGCAGTGGGACTCTGGGTCTCCTGTGAGGTAGGAGCTGCAGGGTTACTGTAAGGACCCAATGAGGTGATCCATGGGAAAAATCTTCAAACTGGTAGAGCGCCTCACAAATGTCTGTGTCACAGCTGTCACTAATGACGCCGCCTGCAGCTCACCAAGCCCCGAGTCCCTCCCCAACCTCCTCCAGATCTAGCCCAGGGAAGATGTGGACTGGCCAGGGCTGGACCAAGGGCTGCAGGCTTCAAATGTGGAAACTGAGGCTCAGCAGGGCCCCTGGGGTCTTCAGTCTCCACAATCCTGAACCTGCCCAGGCCCGGCAGAGAGATCCCTGCTGTGTCCGCTGCAGGCCCATTGCCCATGAGTGACCCCTCTCTCTCCTTTCTGTCTCAGGGCACAGCGTGGATCCTGGCCTGGCCGGCCTGCTGGGCCAACGGGCCCCCCGCTCCCAACAGCCTTTCGTGGTCACTTTCTTCAGGGCCAGTCAGAATCCCGTC